AGTTATGGTCAGGTAAAGGCCGCGCGCCAGCGCTACCTGTCGTCAGCTAAAGGCTGTGCGCCAGCGCTACCTTCCATAAGTTTACTTTGTAGTCATTAACCGGCTCTTGGTGAAAAGCCTCCCCGCCACGTCAAGGCGGCCGGTCTTCGGGGAAGTGGTGTTATTTTTTTTTGGAAAAAATAACAAAACCTTTGCCCTTCTCTTTTTATGAATTTCAATTACTGCTCATTTCCCAGCAGGTTTCTGAGGGTATTTCGACTTCTGATTCTCGTAAATTTTATCGAGATCGCGCAGGAACTCTGTCACTCGCCCGTATACCACATTATCAATCTCGTCTGTATCGACGTGAGAGTAGATGTGGATATCTGCAGCTCTTCTTGTGCGACTAAGCGCCACATACGTCTGGCCATGACTGAAGACTGGATCGTCTAAGTACAAACCGACGATGTTCAAAGTTTGACCTTGCGCACGATTAATCGACATCGCAAAGGCCAACTGCAACGGGAACTGATACCGCGTAAAGCGGATTCCAGCTTTAGATTGCTTTGGAGGTCGGTAGTCGAACCGACTCCGAGCGATCAGGGCGGTTTGCCCAAGATTGCCGTTCGGGTCAATCTTTTGACACTCAATGAGGTCGTTGTTCAAGGCAACTACGCGCATTCTTGTTCCGTTCGAAAAGCCTGTTCGAACGGATAAGTTTTTGCGCAAAACGACATCAACTCCAACTTTGAGTTTGAGTTCTCCGGGAGGCATATTGCCGTCGTTTACTTTGCAAATCTGTTCTTGCATTGCTTCGATGACAGTATGGTCAAAGTTACTGACATCCTCGGGATTCGGGGTATTTACCGAGACGTATACATGTTCTTTACCGGGGAAACGGTCAAGAATTTCTGTGTTCAGGTTCATTACAGTCTGAACCCTCGGAGCTAAGATAGCCATTGCCGTCGGTCTATCTTGGAGACCCAACTGGAGGTGACTCCGAGGGAACACAGCCTCGATCATGTCTTGAGGACTTGTGTGGTTGTGTATCTCTGGATGAAGCTTATGCCTCAGAGATATCAAGGACAATGTTGAACTGAAGTTAGTCCCGGAGCCAATCTCACTGAGAAACTGTCTGTAGCTCCGTTCATCGGCTCTTGTTCTGTGATTTTGTTTCAGTACGATGTACTGCATCTCAGAAGCCTTTGAAATTAAGGACTTTGTCCACTCTTGACCAATCGATAGATCAGGGCAGACTGGCAATATCTGCTGATAATCGCCGCCATACACGATAACTAATTGACGGTCAATGTCGCCCGCTTTTCGAACGTGACGTAAGAGCCGTTGCAAATAGTTATAAAGATCGACGTTAAGCTGGCTTGATTCGTCGATGATCAATAAGCCAAGTTCACGAAGACGTTGGGCTTTTTGATCTTCGTACTTTAGTGTCGGAAGAGTATCCGAGTCAAGATTAATCGGGGCCCATATCAGGTTGTGAAGAGTCTGCCCGGTCTTAATTAAGTTCGCAGCAACGCCAGTTGTGGCAGTTGCTGCGTGCTTGATGCCCTGCTCTTGACAATAGTCAATGAGCTCATTGTAAAGGGTTGTTTTCCCTGTTCCGCCTGCTCCATGTAAGAAGAATTGACGGTGTGGAATGGCTTTGTTTTGAGGCGCCAATTCCAATGCTTTCGTTATCATGTCGAATGCGTATTGCTGATCATCTCCAAAGCTGACCTTAGGCTTTTTAGGCTCAGCAGGACGATCAGTGCTGTCGAACTCACCGATAAATAAGTCCTCGTTCTCACCGTGAACGTCTGGATCGTAAGTTCCAGTTAGTGGTGGTAAATTGAACGACTCGTACTTCCCACCCATGTTGGAGAGGTAATAACTGAGAAGTTCCAAAGCTCTACGCTCCTGCCTTTGCCTAATTTCATCATCCGGCATATTGGGTCTGTGGAACGGAGGCATCAACATGTGGATCTTGTAGTCGTTCCACAGTTGAAGCTGGTCTTCAATAAGTTCACCTGCTTCAATTAGTACTTGGGCAAACAAAAACACAAAGTGTTTACATGTGCGGCCCCGGGCTTGATCAAGAGCATGTCGCCAGAGGACATCTGAATGGAAGAGTCCTCGAGCTTGTGCAGCTTCCAAGAACGTGGCAAAGATCTGGTCTTCGTGCGTTCGGCACTCTTCGAAGCTCTTGAGGCATGGAACGGTCAGAATAATTGATCTCAAGGCCAATAACTCCTTGTTCTTCACCGAGACTTCGCGCAATTGCACGATCTTTTTCATTTGTTTTTTGTACTTTCTGTACGTCTTTGTCTTGTAGTCGTACGCATAGGTTCTGTTCAATTCAACGTACGTCAGATCAGCTGTTTCTTCAGCGTTTTCTGCGCAGTACTCAAAGTATGCGGTCAACCGGGAATACACATTAGGATTCAGGTTGCTGACTCTTTGTGCTATGTTTTCGATAGGCTCTCCGTCAGCCGCGTAAACATGGCTGTCTCCGGGCATGTGAATGCCAATTTGCTCCACAATGTGGGAGACGAAGACAGGCCCGAAGCTGAAAATGCGAAGGTGAGCTTCTTGGGGCGTGATGTAATTTGCGCCCATGTAGAATTGGGGCTCATGAATATCCACGTTCTTAGTCTTTGGATTTATTTCAATGCCATATACCTTCTCGGTATTATTCTTTTTCTCGGGGTCAATCTCATTCTCTTCGAACGGGTGGTCCTCGCCGAGCTTTGCTTGTCTTTCTTTTTCAAGTTCCTTTTCTTTCTGCTTCTGAGCTTCGAGAGCTTCAAATTCAGAAATGACTTGAACGATAGCTTGATCATTCCCCTTTAAGATATACTTTAATACGTATGCGGGGGTGCCGTTGGTGCACACAGCCTCAACGTTTGAGTGACCGTCCCACCATGTGAGCAAAGTCTTGTTGTATGGTACAACATGACGGTCGTTGTAGACGCGTTGAACGCTGTCCACCATTTTACTTCCGGAATGGACTGGGGCTGTGACGTCCTTTCCACGCTCCAACCTTTGATAGGCCACATATCCAGGGCCAATTCTGGTTTCCGGAACAATTTCCTGAGGATAGCGCCGGGTGCACTTTCCGTTTTTGTCCCGGCACAGATCGGTTTCTTTGCAGTCATGGATCATGTACCGAAGAACCTTGTCATGAACTTCAGCATCGGCGACGGGGTCTGGAAATCGGGCCGATATAAATTCGTCGACAACGTGGGCCGACATTTCTTTGTGCTCAGTCCAGAGGAGCAAGTGAACATGTGGATTTCCTCTTTTCTGGAATTCCAAAGACATGTAGTAGCCTAGGCATTGCCCAAACCACCCTTGTTGTCCTTTCTGCGGAGGCGCGATACGCCTCATGAGTTCGACAACCTTTTGCCGAAAAACTCGGTTTAGAATGTCGTATGCATTCTTCGGCTCAATTCCTTTATTTCCGCATAGATGGAGGAAGTCGGGCCATTCTGAGTTTGCAGTCAACGTTATGAAGAAACTGGGCGAACCCAATGTCTGAGCCATTGCTACACAGTTCGAATACTGTCGCTGATAATAGCGACGGCTGTATCGGTGACCTGGAGGCATCCTGGTCAGCTTACCGAGCTGATAGCCTTTGGACTTCTGCTTGAGAAGTTCCGAAAAGTTTTCGCGGACATATTTAGCGTCGACGCGTCGCTTGGGTATGACGTTTTTCTCGTAGTAATCAAAGACCTGTTCTTCGATTCCCAAGGCTTTTTGGCAGATCCAGCGGCCACCGAGTTTATAGTGGTTATAAATTCGATGAACTCCCCGATCTCGAGGTCTTCGCTGAAGCCTATACTTGACTTGCATTCGCAAAGAGCACTTCTTTGCCTTTGGCTTTGTTTTCTTGGGAAGAAGATCGTTCTCGTCGGCCGCTTCTTCCAATTCTTCTATGTTAATGTCGTCCTCGTTTTCTTTCAACCCGGCTGGAAGCGGATTCAACGCGACATTCACCTCAAAAGGCACGAACTCATCGTCATCTCCAGGCCGAGGCTCTGGGAGTATGTCATCTTCACCAACATCTCGCAATGGAAGATGTCGGTGGAAGTATGGCTCGCCATGTATAAACAGAAGAGGGTAAAGAAAGGCGTCAAGTTCAGGCATATAAGCCTTGTACTTCGCCGATTGGTGACCTCGACTGAACACAACCATACCGGGCGGAAGCTTAACATTACCGTTCTCATCGTTTATATAAACAACGGCATGTTCCGCAACTTCGGGTTTATTGATCTGCCTTTCGTGAAGGTCCTTAGGAAGCAACTGTTGCCTTAATTCAGGACTCAGATCTTTTGCATCAACAATTTTCAGCAAGTAATTTTCACTTGGTTTGCCTTCCAAACCAAGCAGCTGTTGCCGTTCAATAATTGTATAATACATTTGCGCCAAGTCGTTGTACTGGCGAATGTAATTATAGAAGAACGCGGTTAACGCATCAAACGCAGCTTTATGTGACATGTTTGTGTACATTTTTGTCTTTTTTAATTGATCACAAACGTCATCGTCTGTTAGATCCGGGGCAAATCTCAGCAACTGCCCAAGAAGAAGCGTATTCGAGATTCCTTCCGGGTTAGAGACGTGATACGTCGTTTGTCCATTAATATTAACCACTGGCGCTCCGCGTCCAGGTGGATCGGACTGGTGTACAGTTTGTGCCCCAAATGCGTACATTTGGTTTAATCTGGGGCTCTCATCTCGATAACAGAGGTAGTACTCCTTGGGAAGAGGTTTCAGGGGAAACTCCCTTCTCCAAGAACCAAATTTTGTTGAAACTCAGGCATGTCTCGAAGGTCTGGCATGACCACTTGGCCGTGTTTACAGCATTCTGAAGAAGTCTCTCCAGAAAGCAACCATGCCTGACAATGCGGGCAATCGTAGAAAAGACCCACGTGATATGGGTGCCGATAATAATAGCCGCTACTGTGAGAGGCCTGACAGTGCATGGTGGTCCGCCCTTTCTTGGAAGACTTTGACCGTTTTAGTTCTTCTTTTTGAACATAGTCCTTTTGACTCCTCCGTACCATGCCCTTTGTCTGGGTCCTTGGAGTGAATGGAGGAGGAGTTGGAGGCCTTGGTGCAGGCTGCGTTTTCGCAACTGCCATTCTTGGAGGTGCCGGCGGACTGTCGGCCTTAGTTTCATTTTCAAAGTCTAGGCAAAGCTGATGATAAACGTTATCAGTCGCAGAGCTGCAAAAGATTGAATTCAAAATTCGATTGGAATAATTTGCTGCTCGGCCATGTGGCCAACGTTGCACCTGGTTTGGTGGCATTCCATTTGAGCGCAAGTAGACCTCTGCATTAGAAACCGCGTAATTTGCAGTAAAGTTGCCGTCATCCGTCCAGTAGTACTGACTGGAACTCGACGTAACAAAGATTTGGGCTTGCGGATTTGCGCCGGTTTGAGGACAGAAAACGTTCTCATAAACTTTTTGAAACATGTGTTCAAAGTCGCGGGCATTGATCCCGGTTCGAGCAGGGTCAATAAGCGTGACATTCGCTGATCGCCTAGATTTATACATTATTGCCAGCACGAAATGACGGGATGTTAAAATCTTTTTAGTCTTACGTGAGGGTCGGTTTACCATAATCAATGGAATGAATATGGCAGGGTCTGATTCATTTTCTTTCAGATTCCCAATATTAATCAAAGTATAGTCAGCAGGATCAGCAGATGTATCCAGTGACCATGCTGGAGAGATGAGTCCCACCGGTCTCCCGGACTGGCTTATCATTTGAGCCAGTGAAAAAGTGAGAAGCCGAGCATCAAACTCGTCATCATCCTTCTCAACATAAGATATTTCAGATTCTCCGAGGAGTCTCTCTTCAAATGTCTTTGTGCTCGTGCTAACACGGTTAGCGTCTTTAAACAACTGGACCATGTAGCGATAATGCTGTCTTGGATACTTTGCCTCAGCATATAGTTTGTACCCTTCAGAGACTTCAGGAATCTCGAGAGCTTTCTCTTCTTTCGCTATCATGAGAGAAATGTTAACTGTGTCAAACCGTTTCATAAGTTTGTCCTCAGCTGACTTATTGCTTGGGGAAGCCCTGGGTTTCTTTGGAGAGGCGTCAACCTTACTTGAGTTTTCCTCAGCCGTCTGCCGATTATGTTGCTGGACTTGAACGCAGGAAGATCTTGAGATTCTCTTGCAGCCAGAAATCCAAAGTTTCTATCAAAGTACGGGAGGAACTCAACCATACCGAAGACTAATCCCACGACAGTTAGCCATTCTCTTTGGTCTATCTGAATGTCTTCAAGAAACATGCGAGGGAAGATTAAACTACAGCTCACGTCCCCTTGAAAGCCTCCGTTATAATGAGCGGCCATGAATTCTTCCGGAAGAATTTCACTTAACAGGACGTATGGCATAAGATCAAAGATGTTATCCTCCGAAAAGTGACCATTGAAATGTTTTAATGGCTCGTATGGAATGTCCTTATTCTGTTTCAAATGAGGATTTGTTTCAATCAAGTCCTCAAATTGGAATGAATCCATACTTTGGGAGAGACTTTCGACATCCTCGAACTGTTCTGTGCGATGATCTTGCTGTTCAATCTGAACAGAAGTCTTTACAGATGGCCGACAGTCTTGTGTTTTAGACAGCTGCGACTTTCTCTTTCGGGAAGCAAACCCCATGCCTTTTGAAGCCCGTTTTGTTCGGGATTTTCCTTCAGATGTCGGAGCAGAGTGACATTTCTGAAGTGGCAATGACTCGGCTTTTTTGCCGGACTTGTCAACTTGTGAGGGGTTCCTTTTACCGCCTCCACGACATGTCTCAACGTAACGCTGGCAAAGATTAGCAGGAATATTGCCATTTTCAGGCAATTTCATCTGCGTCGCCTCAGCATAAAGCTGGCAAAGATTAGCAGGAATACTGCCATTTTCAGGCAATTTGATCTGCTTCGCCGCAGCATAAAGCTGGGAAAAGTTTGCAGCAATATTGCCATTTTCAGGCAATTTCATCTGCTTTGCAGGAATATTGCTCTCAGGCAATTTCATCTGCTTTGACTCAGCATAAAGCTGGCAAATGTTTGCAGGAATATTGCCATTTTCAGGCAATTTCATCTGCTTTGCAGGAATATTGCTTTTTCTCAGCAATTTCCTGTCTTTGGGCAACAGCATGCTACCGGGCCGAGACCCGGAGCTTCTGCTAATCCTCTGAGCCGGCGAGAACTCGTACCCGGGACGAATCCCGGGAGAATTTTCCATCCGTAAACCCGGCGATGACTCGTACCCCGTTAGAATTTGGGGAGAATTATCCATCCGGGCGGGCGAGAACTCGTACCCGGGACGAATCCCGAGAGAATTTTCCATCCCTGAGGGCGAGAACTCGTACCCGGGACGAATCCCGAGAGAATTTTCCATCCCTATTATAGGCGAGAACTCGTACCCGAGACGAATCCCGGGAGAATTTTCCATCCTATTTTTATAGATAGTAGAATAATAAGTAGAAATAAAAAATTTTGAAAGCATCTCGAAAAATGAAATAATTTCAAAAGAAAAATAATTTTTTGAGTCAAAGCTCAATTAGCAAGCGAATCAAAGTTCACTGAAATCCTTCGTTGAAAGATAACAAATTTCCAACCGAACGCGCATCAATTATTTCCTTGCGAAGCGAAGAAATGGGTAGGAACAACGAAGAGAGCGAGAGAAACGCGCGCTATTTCGCGCTCTCTCTGCCTCTCAGCGCCCTCTCTCCGTTTCGCGCTCTCTCGCTCTCTCTCTCTTTTTCGCGTGTCCGATCTGGCAAGTTAAGCAACTTTACAAAAAAGATGTCGCAATAAGCTGGAAATGATTAAGTAATTAAAATATAATTAATTTATGATTTTTAGAAAAAAAAATCAAAATTTTATATGCAACTTGAAGCGAGTTACATCAAAAACAAATTCATATTGTACATGAGGAAATGTGAGAAAAAAATGTTTTTAAAGGAAGAAAACGCAGGAATCAAATAGCAACTAATGTAGTACATTAAATTTGTGATTTTTTGAGACCGTTCCGATCCGTTTTTATGAAATTTGAGCGAAGTTATATCAAAAATAAAATTTATATTGTACTTGACCTCCAAAATTGCGAAAATTTGAGAAAAAAAATTTTTCAAAGAAAGAAAAGGCAGGAATCAAATAGCAAATAATGTAGTAGATGAAATTCGCGATTTTTAGAGACCATTCCGATCCGTTTTTATGCGAAATGACCGAAGTTACAGCCGAAAGAAATTTATATTGTACTTGACCTCCAAAATTGCGAAAATTTGAGAAAAAAAATGTTTTCAAAGAAAGAAAAGGCAGGAATCAAATAGCAAATAATGTAGTAGATGAAATTCGCGATTTTTAGAGACCATTCCGATCCATTTTTATGGGAATTGACCGAAGTTACCGCCGAAACAAATTTATATTGTACTTGACCTCGAAAATTGTGGATAACTTTCGACCGGTCGATAATTGTCAATAGCAAGTAGGCTTCAGAAGTCGAAGAATTTCGCGCAGAACACGATGCAATCAAAAAATTTCCGAAAATCGAAAGTAGAAAGAAGTTACAGCCAAAACAAAATTTATATTGTACTTGCGAATAACTTTCGACCGGTCGATAATTGTCAATAGCAAGTTGCGTTCAGAAGGCATGAAATTTCACGCAGAATAGGATGGAATCGAAAAATTATGGAAAATCGAAAAATTTTTTCCTAACTTGCGACCGGTCGATAATTGTCAATAGCAAGTAGGCTTCAGAAGTCGAAGAATTTCGCGCAGAACACAATGCAATCAAAAAATTTCCGAAAATCGCACGTAGAAAGAAGTTACAGCCAAAACAAAATTATATTACACATGGCAATTGAGACAAATTTTGAATTTCGCTGATGTAAGAAGGGCTCCGGTCGGCTCCAGCCTTCGGCTGGAGCCTCCCGGAGCAGCCGGCGAGCTGGCTCGGCCTTCGGCCTCGCCAGCTCGCAATAAATTTTTATAAAAATAGTGTTTTTCGCTTCTTTTTTTTATTAAAATAGTATTTTTCGCTGTGTAAGTAGGGCTCCGGATCGTATTTTTCGCTGTGTAAGTAGGGCTCCGGTCGGCTCCAGCCTTCGGCTGGAGCCTCCCGGAGCAGCCGGCGAGCTGGCTCGGCCTTCGGCCTCGCCAGCTCGCAATAATTTTTCGCTTGTGTAAGGAATTCGCACTTTTGGCCGAAATTTGGCCAGTGCTCACTGAATTCGAAAGCGATTTGGCTGAAATTTGGCACGATTGAAGCTGGTGGAATTTGTCGAAAATTGACCCGAGCCGAATTTTGAATTTTACACTTTTGCCCTCGGGGCGTATTTAGTTCGCTGAAAAAATTTAATTTTGGTCTGGACGGTCGTATTTTAAGAAAAGTTGGAGTTGCGCACATGAATATTACCCAAAATTTGATTCTGCGTCGATTGGTACCAAGATCGTGTCGATAGCTCCACTGGCAGCCGAGTTCTGGAAGGGCGGATCCAGAAAATTTCGAATTTTTGCCTTTGTCGCTAGGCGGGCGGGGTAAGATGGTCGTATGTTGGGAAGTGAAAGTTGTTTCTAGGGCAGTTTGATGTGCTAATTACGGGGCTTATCTCGAAAATCCGAAAAATTTGAAGTCTGAGCCCTGAGGGCGGATTTTGTGCAAAAAATCCCGAAAATTTTGCGCCAACAGTTTGATCTGACTTCCGGCAGGGTCCCAGTAGCCGAAAAAAATTCCAGCGATAGCTGAGACTAATAGCTATGTCGCTGTGGAGCCGGATTTTTGAATTTCGATCTAGTTTTCCAGAAAAAAATTCCGGAAAATTTCGACTTTTTCGGGAAATTTCGGAAAATCTCGAATAGCTAAAATACGAAATACGATAGCAAGATACGAAGGGTGGTTCTAGGGTATATCAGGCATGCTGAATCAGAATCCGTTGTCAAAATCCAGAAATTCCGTCATCTTGATGGTGAAAAATGGAAATTTCGAAAAATCGGGAATAACTATCGACCGGTCGATAAATCGACTATGGTGTAACGGGATGTTTTTCATTACTCGAGATGTGGATACGAATGGAATTTGAGTTTTTTCACTCCGATGCCCTGAAGGCTCAAACTGCTATATCGCCCTGGGGGCATGTTATGCAAATTTCGAAAATCCGCGAAGGAAGGGCCCCACCCACACATGAAATATCACTCAATAGCTTGTCCCAACTGCTCCTGGTTCAAAAGTTACAGGCGATCAAAAATCGAAAAATTTCATTTTCAACAGGGCGCAGCTCGCGGGAAACGAAAAATTTCAACTATCCGCTGATGCCAAAAGTCTTAGAATTTTGTGTAGCAACTTCGCGAAAAATTTTTTCCCGATATCTCAACGTTGAATAGTTTTCAGTTTAGTTTTTTATGGTATCTTTCGACAAGCCCCCGCTTCGCGGGGCCTTGACGTCGCTGTGCGCGCAAAGGTTGCCACACGTGCTCTACTGTTGATCGCGCACTACCTCTGGAGTCGCTGGCCCCGCTTCGCGCGGCCAGAAAAACGCGCTAACGCGCGTTCTACTTACTCAAGCCCGGTGGAAAGACATGCTCCGCTCCGACCCGGAGCAAATATTTCGAATCACAATCACTCACCCCAGCCAACCCAACTTTACCCCGCCCCCTTGGAATGGGGAATTCCGCTTTATTTCTTTGTCTTCTCTTCCGGTCTCTCGCTCTCCGCTCTCTCTCGAATTTCGAAACTTGCGTAAAAGCAAAGGAATTTCCCTCTCTCGCTCTCCGCTCTCTCTCGAAATTCAAACTTGCGTAAAAGCAAAGGAATTTCCCTCTCTCGCTCTCCGCTCTCTCTCGAAATTCAAACTTGCGTAAAAGCAAAGGAATTTCCCTCTCTCGCTCTCCGCTCTCTCTCGAAATTCAAACTTGCGTAAAAGCAAAGGAATTTCCCTCTCTCGCTCTCCGCTCTCTCTCGAAATTCAAACTTGCGTAAAAGCAAAGGAATTTCCCTCTCTCGCTCTCCGCTCTCTCTCGAAATTCAAACTTGCGTAAAAGCAAAGGAATTTCCCTCTCTCGGCTCGGCCTCGCACAAAAAAATCCAAAGTCCACCGCTGTTGGGGACGACTCGGCTCGGCCTCCGGCCTCGCCGAGTCGTATTTTAGGAAATGAAAGTGGTTTCTGGACCGATTTTTCACGCTGAACACGATGGTCCAAGTCTCGATTCACGAAATTTGAATTTTGACGCCCTTAGGGCGATTTTTCGAATTTTTGAAAATCCGGCAAAATTTTTTTTTTTCGATTTTCACCCTGAGGGCGTGAACTGAGAGAGCTGAAATTTGGCACGATTGTAGCCAGGCGAAATACGCAGGTGCGTTTTTCTCAGATTTTTGAATTTCGCCCTAGTTTCCGAGATATTCAGGATACCGTGCCAAAATTCTGAATCCTCGAAAATTTTGAATCGCACAGTGCGTTCGTATCTCAATCGTATTTTAGGAATCAAAAGTCGAATATAGGGTAGTTTTGAATGCTGAATCTGAGGGCACACACGAAAATCCGAAAAATTTGAAGTCCGTGCCCTCAGGGCCGAATTTTCGAAAAAAAAGTGAAAAATTGACCGTCATGCACGTTTTTAGAGAATCCCACCGAAGCTCCGAAGCCGAAAAATCGTATGAAGGTACTCTGGTCCAATACCAAGATCAACGCGAAGCCCTTTTTTTGAATTTCGACCTAGTTTCCGAGAAACGGAAATTTGAATATTACACATGACACCAACAACTTCAAAAAATCTCGAATGGCTAAAATACGAAATACGATAGCAAAGATACGAAAGGTGGTTCTAGGGTAACTCAGGCATGCAGATTCAGAATCCGTTGTCAAAATCCAGAAATTCCGTCATCTTGATGGTGAAAAATGGAAATTTCGGAAAATCGGGAATAACTATCGACCGGTCGATAAATCGACTATGGTGTAACGGGATGTTTTTCATTACTCGAGATGAGGATACGAATGGAATTTGAGTTTTTTTCACTCCGATGCCCTGAAGGCTCAAACTGCTATATCGCCCTGGGGGCATGTTATGCAAATTTCGAAAATCCGCGAAGGAAGGGCCCCACCCATGCATGAAATATCACTCAACAGCTTGTCCCAAATGCCACTGGTCGCAAAGTTACAGGCGATCAAAAATCGAAAAATTTCATTTTCAACAGGGCGCAGCTCGCGCGAAAAGCAAAATTTCAACTATCCGCTGATGCCAAAAGTCTTAGAATTTTGTGTAGCAACTTCGCGAAAAATTTTTTCCGGATAACTCAACGTTGAATAGTTTTCAGTTTAGTTTCTTAGGGTATCTTTCGACAAGCCCCCGCTTCGCGGGGCCTTGACGTCGCTGTGCGCGCAAAGGTTGCCACGGATGAAGGT